CTACGTTCACACCTACACGGGTATTTTTGAAAACGCACCCGTTTCGTCCACACGTAAACGGTGTTTCGAATCACTGAAAACTGAGATTTTTTTAAAACTCCTTTTTTGTATTTACGTGTGGACGAGGACTACAGAGTTCGTCATGCAACGTCAAAGGTATGTGCATTTTTTCACGTCACGCTGTGCGCCACGTTGTTTACATGAGATGAATTGCAGAATGGCAGATAGAGACAAAATACTGTTAATCTGACTATCTTCAGTTTTTAAACGCTTACATACACACACGCAGTTACTGTCCCTCCATTTACAAAGGCAGAGGCGTCGCGATGTAATTATTTTACTTGTAGTTGTTTTTTATCTGTGTAATAATAGTCAACATTGCTATCAATACATTTTTCAAAAAATGCCTCTCTGTGCAAAATGAGTTCAAAAACATAAACAACTGTGAGATACTGTTTGTCCGTGATTTGAACCCAGGGAACAAATCGTGGCAGGATCAGCCTGATATTATTTGTATCCCACTGTAACTTTACTGTATAAAGAGCTAACATCTCCAAAATGTCAGGAGTAGTTAGTTATTATCAGAAGTGTTTGTGAACCAAAAATCAAGAATGTGGGATACTGTTTGTCCGTAATTTGAACAGCCCAGCGCGTGCTCCCCACGATTGGAAAACCAATTCTGCAGGGGAGACCTACCTTGGCACTTGTGCAGGTGAAACCAAAGGGAAGATTTGCTTCACCATATTTTCTAGTCTTTGGCTTAGAATGAAGTTGGTTTGGAAACATATTCAGCTATGCTTCATCTTCTGTTTTGCGTTTGTGTGGGCGCCCTGTGCTAGCAGTGTCCAAGCATTTTGCTTTGTTTTTTTCCCCCTTTTCATACCCCCCCACATTACCTGCAGGTCAGTGATATTTTCAGTGTATTGAAGCTACAGGACTTAACAAGCAATACTGCCAAACATAACCTATCTGAAAGTTTAGAATTTACTTTAAATTACAATATTACCTGAAATTAACTTTTCACTTGAAGGTGTTTGCTCCTGTTGCTGGCTCTGCAAAAAAAGACAAAAAAAGTTAGTGACCTACTTAAGTGATATTTGAACAGCAATAATATTGTGGCTATGCAATTTATCTTATAAAAAACAAAACAAGTGACAACCAGTTCAGAAATTATTTCTTTAAATAAACAGACTTAATAAATAGCTAGTAAATGCACTTTAACTTATTTAAAGCTGTTTTCTGCATGCTCTCTGGTGCTAAACTTTTCTAGACAATACCCAATTAACTTGTATGAGAAAGAAACAAATAATCAAACCAGCTGAATCAGGAAAAAAAAACAACTGTCTTTAACCTGCCAGCTCCATTTTATAAAGTCAATTATAAAATTATAATAATAGCCAGTTTGTCCTATGGAAACTGAGTGCTCAGTTTTCTTTCCATGCTCTGCCACCCCTCGCCTAAACCAAATGTAATATTTATATACGTAATATAAATATATAATATTTACAGTAATAAGAACCAAAGAGATGCAGACAATCTCCTGTTGTGTGCTACATGTGAGATTGGGTTACACCAGCCCATATCAAAAAAATCTAATCTCTTGACAATGTCCACAGTTCATGTGTGAAAACAGCTAAATACCTTCCAACTATTGCCAGTTTCATAAATTTTAATCATAGTTAGTCTCAGTATTGATTTTGTTCACAAATATTTTAATATCTGATTCAGGTTTAAAAAAATAGATATTATGGTGGTGTTGCAAACTCAAAAGGTGGCAACAAATTCTCCCTGTTTGTAAGTCAACAGGTGCTCTTAAATTGCCTTACTTCTGTGTTAAATAACATACAGTAACATGTTAATAAGACATGTCTTCCTACTGTCTTCCTTAAAAACAATTTTAAATTTAGAAATTGCTAAATAGTAAGATGAAAAAAGGGCAATTAAGTCTGTTTATAATGCTAAATCATTGATTTAAAAAAAAAACAAAACAAAAAAAAAACATCATGTTCCCGAGGCTGGCTATGTCATCTTCTATCCTCAATCCAACCAAGTACTGAAAAGCTCTTAGCCTGACCAGCCTGGCATAAGACTGGAAAGGTAGAAAGCATTCATCGTGATTTCAAAACTCGAAATAAACTTTGTGTTATTAAATATATAAAAACTTTACCTGGGAAGAGGCTACAGAGATATGCATGATGGGTAAACGACTACTGTCGGATGAGTGGGGTTTTGGATGGAGATGGTAGCCCTGCGAGGGCCAATGGCTGATATTAGGATACCAGCCTTTTGAGTATGAAGGGGACTGTGGGTGAACTTCAATGGGTGCTCTGTAGTTGAATGATGGGGTTGTAACACTCACAGATGGTCTGTGCAGCTGGACCGTAGGTATAGAATATTCCACATCACTGGACTGAGCCTAACAAAACATTAAGAACCACATCAACTCAGCATAACTAATCATATTTATCATAAAAACACTCAACCAGAACAAAATCTGAGTTTCTCCTAAGACCGTATGAAAAAAGATGAAACAATACCTTATCTGATTCTTGTCTTTGTGTTGTTACAGTTTTACTTTCTGAGCTGGATGAAGAAGCCTTGAATTCAGTCGCTTGATCTCGGCCTATGTGGGAAGATGGTGATTGGTTGATAGCCACTGGAAGCAAAAATGTGTCAAAAGATCCTGGCTGATGGCCTCCTGGTATTGGGGGATTTAATGACATCCTAATGGTACCTGGATTGTTTGGCACAAGCCCTGGAGGTTGACCAAAGTGTTCTGGAGGACCCAACCTTTCCTTTGGCATAAAATAAGGTCTTTCCACAGGGGAACCAAGATTAAGTGAATTGCTTGAATTAAATCCTGATGAATGGATTAGTCCTGGGGGATGATGATTTTGCCAGTGTGGACCAATTCTGTCCCTGTAGCACACCTCAGGTGCCTGAATTGGCAACATTCTCCTCGGTGGTGGATTAGAAAGCCGGTTAGGGACCCGAGAAGGCTTCATTGGAGTCTCCTGGTGAAAAGATGTGTTGGATAGGGAGCGCTGCTCAACAACAAGGTCCTTTACTAAGGTACAAAGGAAATATGATGCATGCATTATGGTCTTTTGAAGAATCTGTTACATTACACCTTACCCATTTACTGTACTTACTAAGGATTATCCATCTGTTTTTTTAAATTACAGGTCTGAATTTGTTTTAAGAGAAAAGTAATGACTAGCTTAGCCTTTTGTGTTAAGCCAAGAGTGCCAAAAAGATCTCCCTCTGACAAACTTATTTTTCTCATTGTGTCTGCTTCCTCTTAAAGCCCAAAGCACTATCTGACGCTTTGGTTGGCTTAGTTGTTGATTTAACTGCTCACTGACAGTCCCACAGCATGAAACTGCACAATAAGTGAGACTATATAATAAAACAAACAAACAAAAACTTACATCATAAACATTACATTTATTGCACAGTAAGTAAAAGCATACACATGAGAGGCAAAGTCTCAAGGAGCAGGTAAAAGTAAAAGGTTATTTTAATGAAAATTAACACTCGACCTGTCACTTCGACTCACCTTTACTTCTCGGTGAGAAGCAAGCTCCAAGTGGGCTGCAAAAAAGACAGAGAAATGGGAACTCAACATGTTTCTATTAACGTTTGAAGTTAGCCCGGTCACCAAGCCGACGACAATGACGCAACTTCAGTTTTTGTTTTATTTTAATCCCCACACACACAAAAATGAGAAAAAGAAGACGTCCAACAAAGCACGAGTTAACCTTCCACAGACAAAACGAGGGAGACACTTGCTAGAGAATTTCTGTTTGGCTAATGGCTACCAATCACGGCATGCTATTTGAGGTGACAACATGAGATCAAATAGTTTCACGCTTTGACATGTCGTGATGTTGTTTTGACATAAAAATGTCTTATCGCCTGAAATTAACATAACCTAGCAGTGTCGCTTGAGAACCTCAGTCCCAAACAGACGTCAACAAACTGGCTAGCCGTTAAATATTATTACCTGTCAATATGCTAGGAGCTAGAGAAAAAGAAAGCTAAATATGACAGCGTTATTCATTAGCATCAGTTCCTTGCGTCGTGTTGGACTCGCTTTAAGAAGAAACAAAGCCATCTATGAACGTTTTATTTTAGAACCTACATAAACGTCTTTCTGTAGCTAGCTAGCGAATAATAAAATGCATAATAAATACTAGCATGTCGTTTGAGGAAGTAATGTTTAGCTAGCTGGCTAACGCGCGTGCAAATTACCAGTTAGCAGTTATTCATACCGAGTGTCTCCTTAGTTTTCTGTTGCTTTCCTCATTTTGAGGACTGGGAAGTCTGTTTGCAACTACATACGGCGGCAATAACACGTTACTGGTGATTCCCGGTGCCACAAACATCCTCTCCCGCTTGCAACCGCTTAGACGACACGAACTGCATCATGGAACTTGGAGTTCAAAAGTATTTCACTTTAAAGGAATTCTTTCTGTAGATGTTCAAACTATTTCCCCAAGTCTTTTTCCAGTGCTTCCGAAATAGACCTGAATCCATCTATTAGAACCCACATTGTAATTTTTCATTTTTTTCGAGGTCGTCATGAGAAATGGTTAATTCTGGAAAATGTCTTGCAAATACAATATGCCCCTGGGACAAAAAAAATACCCTCTCCTTCATGAATTTAGTCAAAACTGTGGTTTGACCACCACCAAGATTTCATGCTTCATTCATTTTACTTTTGGATATTTGTTACATTTACATACCAAACACATAATTAAACACATTTTAATATTAGACAAAGATAACCCAAGTAAATACAAAATGCAGATCTAAATTCAATTATTAAGGGGAAAAAGCCACCCAGACCTACCTGTCACTGTGTGAAAAAGTAATTCCCCCCGAAAACTAATAACTGCTTGTACCACTTCACACATTTTTAGCTGGTCTAAAATCAGCTGCAAGGTCAGCTGATGGAATAGGATGAGGAGAAAGAAAGACATTAACAAGTGCAATGATAAATGTAGACCTTTTATCTTTATTCCTATGATTCATTTGTCACAATATCATTGTCTAAACAGTGGATTGATCACATGTACGGTGCAAAACACACAGCATAGCACCATTCAAAATGTCAACAAATAACACAGACAGCAACAACATAGGAGACAGCATATATTTCAATCATAGACAAGCAAAATAAGAGAAAAGGACTGTTAGCCTTTCCTTATCATCCCATCCTGCTCTCAAGAGATTGTAACATTACATCCTGTTATTAGTGAAAAGCATGAAATTAATGACCTAGAAAATAACTTCTGTACACTTTGGTGGTACTATTTATGTAAAAAAAATACAGCAAATCTATATTTTAAATTAATTTATAATACCCTACAATATCCCAGTATCCTAGGTCACCCAGTGAAATAACAATGCCATCTAAACAGGTATAATTTCTTAACCGCTGCTAGTCTCTCACCAAAATAAAGTAGCAGTATTGTATGTGAGGCAAACCGAGACCTCATCTCTTCATGTAAATAGTATTGCTAACCTTGGAATTGCCTGCAGCATAAAATGGATACGTGGATTTTAGTCTTTCCTCTGCTTTTTTACTATTTAAAGGCATTCAGATATCACAGCCATTTGCTTAACGATGTCACAACCAAAGACCTGTTTCATGTAACAACAAAAACAAAGTGTTATAATTCTGTCATTAGTGAAAAAGGACATAAATTACATATTCTAGTTATTGTCTTTTTTGACGGCATTGCTAATTCTCTTTCAATACTTGCACTGTAAAGGTTATAATATAAGATTATAATGTAATAATTAGGCAAAAATATTTACAATCTCTTGAAAGTCATGCGCTCCATGGCTCTAATGTTTATCAGTCATTTACTGTCTACTGCTCCCCTGTACTGTACAAACAGACAGCAAACTACAGTATATTCATCACATATTACAACTCAAAATAAATCAGAATTTAGAGGAAACACTAATCTAAGGCCAGCTGTTAGGGACAACCTGTTCCATCGAACATAAAGGGAGCTTTCATGGTGTTTTTCACTTCTTGGCCTTTCCCTGAGCAGCAACGGCCTCCATGGCTTTGCGTACAGTCTCCTCGTCGCCAAGGAATTGCATTGGCTTCACTGGCTTCAGGTTTTTGTCGAGCTCATAAAGGATAGGGATCCCTGTTGGCAGGTTCAGCTCCATGATGTCTTCATCTGACATTCCTACAAAAAGAACAGACAAAATGTCATTTTGTACAGAATTACTGCAATTGCTGACAGAGTGATTGACTACAGGGTACTCCCCAGTTCTCTGTATAACCATATCCTGTTTTTTTTGTTCTTTTCCTCTAACCTAGGCTTTTAGCTATAGCTATATTCCCTCATTAATGTCTGTTTATTTTATCTTTCGGTCCTTAGGAGCTTATAATAACCAACTAGCCAAGTGGAACACCCTTTTGTTTGGAAGGGGGGCCTTAACTTCTTCACCCTTGATGCCTAGGGGGGACCCTTAATTTGCTTTTCTTTTCTTTCATATTTAAAGCCATCCTACAGAACAAAATAGAATAGGTTCGTGAGGGTGCTCTCTACTGATATGGCCTACCAGGGCTGGAAAAAACCTTAACCTATTGTAAAGATTGTCAAAGCACATCTTAACTGATATATAGTGAAGTGTCAAAACTCATCATCAAAGTTACATGGGGAGGAAAGGAGCTAAAATGAAGTGCAGAGACAGTCTAAATAACAGGGATGGCATCTGTGCTGAAAATGTAAAGCTAATGCAGAAGTACCTTAACTTTAAAATGACTGTAACTGCATAACTGTTTATGCTAAAGACAAAATTCAAATGATTGTGGAAAGAAGAAAAGACAAGCTTTACGGGGATATTTATGGTATCATAATGGATTCACAAGGCTATACTGTCAGAGCACAAACAAACAAACAAAAAAGAAAAAACAGCTCCACCTGGAGTTTACCATGTGAACTTCACATCACCTTTCCTCTCAATCATTTGGGCTAGAGAGAAAATTCAACTCTTCCTAAGAAACATTTTGTATGAATCTTGGTCAATAAAGGGTTAAACGTGCATTCTTCTGAAGGAGGAGGAGGGGGGGGGTGCCCCTATGCTTACAAAAAAGACTTATGTTTACTTATGTTTCAGTAAACACTTTCTTGATGTGTTTCTGGGCTCAGTCGCTAGTTTCAAGCAAATACATAAACATAACATATAAAGTAGAGGTGATTAAGCAGTGAACAGTATGAGAAAATAATGTGTTTTTTGAACATTAAAGCATGAATATATATTTGTGAACCTACCAAGTCAAATTCTGAATTTTAAAACATTTCCATGTGACTCATACTTTTGCATCAGATTTCCGCCGTAACTTACACTATAACCAGAACCCCATTTTAACACTGCGCTGCAACCTTCTACATGACCTCCTGAGAAATGTAACTACAAGCATACTACGACGTGAATTGCTTGAAAGGTTGTGGTGTAGGGATAAAAGGAGTTTCTGGTTACATCACCAGTTAGGATGTAGATTTCTCGCAGAAGTCTAAGTGAAGCTTTAGTGTTACTCACCCTCCAAGTGCTTGACGATCCCTCTCAGACTGTTTCCATGGGCGGCGATCAGCACCCGCTTTCCCTGCTTGATCTGAGGGGCGATCTCCTCGTTCCAGAAGGGCAGCGCCCGTGCAATGGTGTCCTTAAGGCTCTCACAGGAAGGAAGCTGGTCGTCAGTCAGGTCTGCATAACGACGATCCTGCAAACATAACAACTTCATTGTACAAACTAAATAACAGAACAAAAAACTGAGATAGCATCTTAAGCTTTATTTTACCCCCCACCCAAAAAACCCACGTTTTTTTTTTTTATATTACATTTCAAAAATAGAAAGGAAGACATGAGAAGTCAAAGGAGCTCTGCAAAGAAAAGCGTCTGGACTTCTTTAAGTTGCTTGAAGACGTTTCACCTCTCATCCGAGAAGCTTCTTCAGTTCTAAGGTCAAATGGTGGAGAGTCCCAGATATAAACCTAGTGGGAGTATTCCCCCCACAGAGGGACAAAAGGACCCCCTGATGATCCTCTAATCGCCTGAGCCAAGGTGTGAAACTGGGTGTGGGTCCCAATCAGCCAGGTTTCGGGTGTGTTCATTGTGAAACCTGGCCCCACCTTATCATGCGAATTCCTGAGGTCAGATGGCCCAGGATGTGAGTGGGCGTTAAGGCGTCTGGGAAGGGATCTCAAAACTGGATTATAGATGGCAGAGAGTTGGTGTCGTAAACCCCCGCCTCTGTTCAAAGATGGTCGCTCACAGTGGACATAGATGGCTTCTTTCACTCCTCTTTCAAACCATCTGTCCTCTCTGTCCAAAATGTGAACATTGGCATCCTCGAAAGAGTGTCCTTTATCCTTAAGATGCAGATGGACTGCTGAGTCTTGTCCTGTGGAGGTGGCTCTTCTGTGTTGTGCCATGCGCTTGTGAAGTTATGAGAAATTTGTTTCTACCTTGACTTGAACTTTGAACCTGAACGCAGAAGAACTCTTTCAGTCATACATTAACTCACACTGAACTTAGTATTAGGCAATAGCATTAAGGCTCCTACTGGCAAATAGTAACCTACTACGTCTCTGTGGTGGCCATGCTTGATTTTTGCACTGTTGTGGTATTTAAGCTAAGTATGCTGGAGATAAAAAGATTGAGACACATGATGTTAAATCCACTATTTTCTCTCTAAACACTCGTGCCATTTCTGCTGATTTCTCTCATAAAGCTGGTTAGGCCTGGATTCAGAGATATGTTCAAGTCGTGGCTCATTTTTGTTACGTTTGTTTGGAGATACTTGATTAAGAAAGTCAATATGTACAAAACCATTGTTTCTCTCGGACGTCAGCAAAGTTCATTGATTGTGTTCATGCACTGCCAATATGATATCTTACCTTGCTGATGATAGTATAGTAGTCGTGGTCTGGACCCATGGGAGGAGGTGGGATATCAAATGAGCGCCTCCAGACCTTCACCTGAGCCTCTCCGTGCTTGGCAGCAGTCTCTGCCTTATTTAGCCCCGTCAGGCCTCCGTAGTGACGCTCGTTGAGCCGCCATGTCCGATGAACAGGCACCCACATCTGGTCAATGCTGTCCAAAACCAGCCACAGTGTCCTGATGGCTCTCTTCAGCACGGAGGTGTAGCAAATGTCAAACTCAAAGCTAGCATCTGTGAGATTCATAGAGTGTGAGACACTCCAGGGGTTTTTTTGTCTGGTAAAATATATATTTCTTGCATAGTTGTGTAGTTATTACATTTCTTCACTCTGCTGTCTATGTATAACACCTGGAATAATGCCAATGATGGTATAGAGAGAGATAAGCCTGTATCTCAGGCCTTGCAGAAATTACATTTAGGATTGCTCAGAGCTCAAGATGATGTCTCCAATATGCCTCTGCAGTCAAAAACCTCAACCTCATAATAGAAGGTATGGTGCATATAACAATGAAAAGCATCTAATTATAACACAATGACCGCTGTTTGGTATGACTGCACGGAAAAATGACTTGACTATTTTGGTTGGGGCTCAGAAGTCTAGCTATTATTGAGCCGTAAAAAATTAGGTCTTCTGATTGAAGCTGGGTGAAAGAGCCAGCTGCATGAACATTTAACTAAATACATTACTTTGAAGGTTTTTTTCCCCCCTCTCTGCTCTGCAGGCCTTTATTATTTCTGTTGCAATGCAGCCACATAAAAGCATCGCCTCAGCACGTCTGCACACGGTCAGGGGGCGGTATATGACCCGATGCGCTCAGACTATGCGGTTATGCAATTGCTAGTTGCCGAGAGCGCGATACCACACGGAATGAAGGAAGACTTCACATCGGTTCGTCCTCACCTTTTAGGGCCTGTCCTCCTCTCTTCGCCTCCTTTTCACCTGTTTCGCTCAGATCTGCATCAAACCACCCACAGAAGCGATTCTCCTGGTTCCAGTTGCTCTCTCCGTGACGAATCAGCACTAATTTGTAGGCTGCCATGAGTGATACAGATATGTCTCAGCCGATTGCTTCAGTCAATGAAAACTAGTTAGTTTAAGTATTTTTTTGAAGGATGCTGAGGATGCTGAATCTATACCCCCCAACTCCAGAGACATAGACGACTCCACTTGCTGCTGTCAAACCGTTTTATCCCTTGGATTGGCTACTCCCCCACTTCCTGGTTTTCAGAACCAATGAGGCTCAGCAGAATAATATTTATCAACCAATGGGCGAGGTGGGAGTGAACGGTGGAGAATCTCCGACCTTCACGTTGTACATTGTACTCTATTGATTTTCTTTAGGCTGTTTGTCTTTTCAATAGTATCTATCTATCTATCTATCTATCTATCTATCTATCTATCTATCTATCTATCTATCTATCTATCTATCTATCTATCTATCTATCTATCTATCTATCT